ATATGTGCGTGTTAAAACACACGAAAGGACACTTCACTCTGATTGGGCAGAAAAACACAAAGATTTTCTGGCACCAATCAGATGCCAGAACGACTGCGACCGTTTGGAACTAGTCTTGTAAGACAATGTCCCCAGGGGCTCTTCTGCCCTTAACTTGAAATCGACTCAGCCCCTGGGTCTCCGAGGATGCGACAATAATGGATACAAACAGAAACTCTGCCTACTAGTCCGAAAACGAAGACAATGTTTCTATCTGTTCCCTTGGGCTAGAGTTCTTAAATGAAGCAGAAAAAGAGAAAAACAACGGAAAAGGAGACTCGGCATCAGCGCCGTCACGATTCGCTTCAACTGATATTGTTGTCTGTTTTTCACGTCGGATTTGATGCACAATTCCACCGGCTATGTTCTAAAGCAATTGGTTCATGCTTTCAGCTGTGCACTATCGAGTTATGGAGCACGTGGGAGTTTGGAGAGCACTTAAGAACCGAGAGTTGCCCTTGGCTATCGCCTCGGGCAACTGTTACGCTTCTTTCGTGCTCTCCAAACTTCCCACGTGCTCCATAACTCGATAGTGCATGCTAAAGCATGAACCAATTGTTAAGTAACCAGTGGCAAGTGCGGCAAATATGTTACCAGCAAGTAAGGGTTTATTTTGCATACATCCCACGCTAAAGTTGCGATAAAAGTTTTGTAAGTCGCCCATTTCCACTCTCCCGTTTTTTTTGGCCTGTCTACAAAGACCGTGAGCCTTAAATAGCTCATCGCTGCTGGAGTTTACACTTATTTGTATAGGTGGTTTGCTACCGATCTCCAGAGACACAGGTAACAATGGTGAAAGGAACAAATGCTGGTGGACAAACAAAAGGAGCTAATGAGATATCTATTGTTTGCGTCCACCAACATGGCGCCAATTACGTAACGTGCAAACCACCTATTGTATGAGGGGACTGGACTGCAATCCAGTGATCCTGGACTGAATTCAATTAAAAGTGGTAAAAACCAAAAACAAAGTGCCAATCAGAAGAAAGGAAAATACCTTTAAGAGCCAATGGAAACTCGAAGTAAAAACAAAGAAACTGTCTAAAGCGCGCGAAAAACGCGGGCGACCAAGTCATGATTGGTTTTAGTTTTGCATCTGATTGGTTGGCGCTGATTTCTGAGCCAATCACAATCAATTACAGTGCTCTTTCTCATGAGATGTGCCTCAAACACCTCATGGTCAGTGATTCCCAAAAGCTGTTATTGTTATTGTTGTTGTCATGTTTTGCTTTAACAATGGATTTATATTGTTATTTCTGTACAGATATATTTGGATTTTAAACAATAAAAATATCAGAAAATGAGACAAACAGCTGCATTTCAGTTCCTCAGATTAACATTTTAGAATAATTATGGCTTTGGGCTTGTTAATTATAAGCACCTATAACTTTCCAGAAACTGGCCCATTGGTCTCTGTCTTACCCCACTGGGGTAAGAAATACTTACAGGAAAAGAATGCTGCCCAATCAGGCTGCTCTTTTGATGCAAGCTCTTAAAATGAATAAAGTATTGACTTCACTTTATACCAATGAATTGTATGTCTGCTTGTCAATGCCCTTCAATGACATGTTGACTCTGAAGTTCACAAAGGCTTCCCACCATTGATGTAGAGTAACAATGATAATCTTTATAAGATTAGGCAAGGTAAGAAAAGATGCGCTTACATGAAAATAGTAGAACTTTGACCCTTTAACTTCCAAGATCTGATTGTGAATTCTCCCCTCTAGCGCCACACACTTCCTTGTTAATTGGTTACAAGAATTTGGTGTTCAATCAAGGTAACAACTTCCACCTGATAAGTTTGAGTATTCTCATTACCTGTTTACTGGATCATGTATGGATATTACAGGGAGAAGTTACAGGTTAATCACTTCTGGGAGTGAAAGGGTTATGGTAACTTGGCAAGGTTGAAAATAGTAAAGAAACTTTAAGGCCCACAATTCAAGAAAGGACATCAACAATACTGATTTTCTTTATACTTTACAAGGTATCTCGAAATAGCTCTTTGTTGGATAACAGTATACTCTGGTAGTAATTATATGACACACCTCCAGTTTAAAATACTTTTGTTGATTGATACTTACTATTTTCACATTAGCAGCTGGACCTCCTTCTCCGGCGTGAACTGTTCTATGTATGTTGAGCCTTTTAGCTTCCTGCACAAAAAATGAAGACTTCTTCCATAAATGGCAGACCTACAATGTCAGTAAGACATTTTACAAGGTAGAACAACTAACCCTATCAAACAGAAAAAGGGAGGACATAGGTCAATGGAGGGGGATTTGTGAATGTGGAATTATGTCCCTTTAAATCTGCTATAGTCCATACTCCCAGTTAGCTCATTGGATAGAGCACTGGACTGTTGTGTGGGAGGTCGAGGGTTTGAGCCCTGGCCGGACCAACACTCAAGCGGAATTTAGATCACACA